GTTGCATTATTTGAAGTTATTATCACTCCTAATAGTGATATTATCTCCAAATAAAAAGCATTATTTGGAGATATTATCGTTCGATTTCTTTTTTCTCTCATTAATTATAAAGAAATATAAAAAACAGCTGTGATCAAAGTCATAAAAAAATATTGTTTTTTTACACACATGAAGTTCAATGTTTTTATTTAAAAAAATCAAGTTTAGGAGAGTTAAATAACCGTTTGTACTTAATTTGTAGTTTATAACATAAACTTTACAAAACAAAGATCAAATATCAATATAAAATGACAGATCTAAAATGCTTGTTCAGACATATAGGCATTTGAGAGGAATGGAAAGATATTAAATAACTAGTAATCACTTGTACTTTGAAATTTAGTTAGTAGAATGATTTTTATTTTCTTTATAAACATTTAACTAATTTGTCCTAATGTTTTAGTATATATTACATTAATATTTTTTAATATCTAACTTGCTATATTGTTTTAAAAATTAATAAACTACAAACTTATTACAAAAAATAATTGATTTGATTTTGGATTATTCTGAAGGAGTTAAAACTAAAAATTATATTCTAAATACCATTTTGTATATAAATACAGTGTATACAAGAGTATTTATAGTATAAAAGTTGCAATTTGTTAATAATGAAGCATCTATAGGGGCTAAAATCAGGTTTATCAGTTGTAAAATTGGATATTTATTAAAAAATACAAATATATTTGGGGTTTTTTGGTTTGGATTTTTTTGCCAACCCTGACTTCAGACATATCAAATATTGATGGTGCTTTAAGCAATGATAGCAAGTCTGAGAAGATTGGTGTATATGAGCCTAGCCCTATCAGTGAATTTGACTCAAACTGATTTTAGTCAAACTGATTTGAATGAGTGCAGGATTTATACTTGTAAAAAAATCACATTTGAAACAGATTATTGCCCGCCATACCTATACATTTGTCTGCAGAATATTTAAAACCTTAAGCTTTCTATTCAAAAAATGATTTGCTATTGTAATGATATTTAAGGATTATTCTGTGAACTTAACAATCAGTACCTACAAAGTGAATGGTGTCTTTTTATTGATTCTTTAAAATGCAGTTTAACAAATGTAACACTGAACAATAGTGATACGTACCCATCTATTTTAATTGCACATGCTGTTGAAATGATGAGACACATAAGAGGATGCAATAGCTGATGAAGACCATCAAGTATTCAATTTGTACATGGAACAAAGATATCACAAAAAAGTAAGACACAGCCATGATGGAGGACTATTGCTTGTTTCTCCAGAGAAATAGTGGTTTTGAATACAAAGCCGATCAAGATTTAATTAGATTGAAACCTAATAATGGTTGTTTGAAACCTAACGGTTGTTTAGGTAGATTTATGTTAACAAAAGAATGTGTCTTAATGACAAATCAATTTGCATTAATTTATACTGTAATTAAAAAACTGTATTTTTTCAGTTTTGAAATGGGGAACATCAAATTACTTTAATACAGCATTTGTATCTTCAGTAGCAAAAAAAAAAGTAATGTTGCATTGTGTAATTAACATTGTACCTTTAATGTTTGTTTGCTGTAAAATCTAAACAGGCCTGTAGGACTTTTAGAATATAAAGAAAAAACTGAATGCTGAATAAAGTTATTAGTTATATGGTATATTAATTGATAATCTAAAATAGTATAAATACTAATACTAACTAAATGCCTAATTATAATAGCTACAATAATAATAGCAACAACAACAATAGCAACAGTTGTAATAAAAACAACAACAACAGCAACAACAATAACAAGAATTATAATAAAAACAACAACAACAATAATAACAATAAATACAAAAGCAATAACAACAAAACAAAAACAACAGCGATGATAATAATAGCTACATTAACACTATTATGAAGGTTTTTAAAAAAATAGAAAACAACAGTTTAGATTAATAAAAAAAATTATAAACAAAAATCATAAAGGAAAATGTCACACTTCAAAATCACAATATTACAACAACCAATCAAAAATTATGATTAGATAAATAAAATGGATTGATAACAATATATAGATACACAAAAATAGGCTCTTCAAAATCAATAAAGCATAAACATAAAAACAAAAAAACTGGACTCCAGTTTCTTTAATGCATATATTAAAAAACATTTTAAAAACTTCAACTTTTTATTATTAACATTAAACAGATTGAAAGGGATGCTTCTTTTATATTCAAGACTTTTAATCTTCTTTTTTTTTTGTTGCCTAAAGTTTCTTTTTTTTATTTTTTGTTTATTTTAATTCAAGAATATTTATACTTTAGTGTTATAGTTTATTTTTTTAATCTTTGCATTTAACTTCAAGCTTTTCTTTGTTTTCACTTTAATTTTTTTTTTATTCTTTTTAATATTTTTTGTAATAAATTCACTTTTCTATTATCTTCAATTTTTTATTATTAAAACAATAGATAATGAATTGTAGATGTGTTTTAGATGTGCAATCTGCGCTAACACACATATTAACTAAGCCAAAAGGCTGTAAAAAATCTTTTTGCTACTAGAGACCCTTCTAATACAAAAAGACCAGCTCTAACTGATTCTCAAAATTTTTTTAGCTGTATTAAAACAATTGTCTTGACTAATTAAAACAATCTATTGAAATTTCACTAAAAAGGGAACAGCACAGAGGATTTGATTTTGTCAAAATTGTAAGAATATACTCGGAAAAATTAAAAGTGTCTGGTAGACTGTTGTTTTTTTGCCCATTTTTCAATTTTAAGATATTGCAAAAGCTTAATTGGGGTTAGAAATGGATGATTATTAAAAGTGCATTTAGGTTTTGACATTTTGACATCAATGCTTTGAACCAATACAATATTACACAGCAGATACTAATGGCAAAACAGAAATTTTATTACCAGTTCTAATCCTTTTCAATCTACCAAATTCTATTTAAAAGCATGTAATCAATTAAAAGCGAGGAAAGCATGTAATGATTAAAAGAAAGCATGATTAAAAGTTTTTGTTTTATGGTATAGACTGTCCAATCAAAGTATTGTTTTAAAATATAGACTGAACATTCAAAAGTATTGTCTTAAAGTATAGACTGCAAACTCAAAGTTATTGTTTTAAGATATTGACTGCATATTCAAAAAGATTATTTCAAAATATAGACTGCAAACTCAAAGTTATTTAGATGATAATCAAAACTAAAAAGTTCTTTAAAAAACATTCAACTTGAATTGTTTAATGATCTGTTCAAAGGTGATGTCCAAAGAATCTAAAGATAAATTCAACTTGCACAAAAAGTTGACAGAGCTTTAGCTGGATCATTACTTTTTATGAACATAGTATTGGCAACACAAGATTTTAAGTTTTAACAAATTACAAAAAAAATATGAACACCTAAAAATAGTTTGTATTATTTGTAAATAGTTGTTATATTATAAATGAAGTTATAAACTTTTTATAACTTTAGGTCTCAGGTTTATTTTTAAAAGGTATAAAGACACTCTTGATTCAACCATTTTGTAAGTCATTACAAAGTATCATAGAATTGTAGTATCACAAATTTAAACTAACATAGTTCAGTAAACATTCATACAGCAAATTTTGGGCTACTAAAAAAATGTGCACATTTTTTTTGACTTTATAAATGCCTCATTTTATGTTTGTATTTTAAAAAATCTGTTAAAAATGCCCGTTTAGTATAATTGCCCACCTATTTTTTATTTTTTTTAAATGAGTGAAATTAGTATTAGATATAAAATAAAAAATTTTTATTTTACTAGAAAATTAGCTGAATTTTTTTTTAAATAAAATGTGCAATTTTTATATGATAACTTAGTAACTGTTACTGTTTAATAAGTTACTAACTGTTATGACATAAGAAACTATTTTTATACTATTACTATTACAGCGCTATCATACTAAAGCATATGACTTAAATGTAAACAATATTTGATGTATATCTTTATAAATTATTATTGTTTTGAAATCTGTCAAGCTATATTTACAAAAGCATCATTCCTTACGCATCAGTCAAAACGTCTTTATAAAAGTTTAAATATTTATGAATCTTGATGTACTAGACATCCCAGATTTCTTTTCACTGAATTTCGCAAAAATTTGGTTTTAACGATTTATAAAACAATAAACCTTTAGAAGTTATTCCTTGTCTATGGAATAACCTATTTTCGTGGTGATTCACACATCGAAACGATTTTTTTTTTTTTTTAGTTATTTGATTAAAATTTGTGTGCGTGCGTGTGTGTGTGTGTGCGTGTGTGTGTGTGTGTGTGTGTGTGTGTGTGTGTGTGTGTGTGTGTGTGTGTGTGTGTGTGTGTGTGTGTACAATAAAACACCGCATCTAAAACTGAAAATGGAATAGCCAATCAAAAACGAAAAAAAGATCATGTTGGCCGCTTTCTGAATATCTTCAGAGAGCGGTCATACGATCATAATAGCATTCATACGGCTTATGTATAAATCTTTTAGTCAAATGGAATGAAACCACAACTTTTTATAAAGTTTAAGTACAAGTTTTAAAAAAAAAAACACCAAAAGTATTTTTTAATCTCTTTTTTTTTTTTGCTATGCCTTTGTGGTTTTCAAACCAAAGTGTTTTTTATATCTACCTAACGACATTGATTTTAATAATATTTTAATTAAAAAGCTTTGCTAATATTAATTTTTCTTTAATTTCAATATCGTGACTCTTTATTAAATTTATATATGAAGATATTAACGGAGATATTTGTTATTGTACTGCAAAATATCTTATTTATCTTAATGGCGTCAGCTTAACTTTATTTATTTAACTTTATTTATTAAAATTATATTATCGTTAATGTTAACAACATTATTTAATTGAGAAAGTATAGGGATAATATTTTAGTCAAATAAAATCACATCATTTTGCTAATACTAGAATATTAATTATTTCTTAATAATCTAATTTAATGTTTCAATTTAATCTTGTTTTATCTTGATTCAAATAATGTAGATAGTAGAAAAATTGCTTGATCACTGTCTCGCTCCTGACTGTCAAATGGGAGGAATAGGCTGTGATAATATGACTGTTATACTTGTTTGCATCCTAAACGAGCGGTCTTTAGATTTGTTAGCTGAGAAATGTTCCCGACCTCCTAAGGTTTATGCACTGGACTCTGATCAAGCTTTTCAAATAAAAAAAGATAACGATAGCGGAGATAAAGAACATGGCGGAGACAATGTATTAACTATAAACGAAGTCTTAGCGTAAATTTTATGGAATTTAGATTATTCAATAATGAATATAGTTTTTTTTTTTAGTTCCTATTAATTTATATTAGATATTATTTTAATGTGTCTCTACTTAAAGTAGTAGAACTGAAGAACCTTGATTGAACCCATTAGACTTCTCAAAATAAAATTTTATTAGCCATATAAAGTTCTGGTGGAAAATTTTTACTTTTTAACCATTTTTTTTTTAATTTAGCGTTTTGATTTAACTTTTTGTATACATAGTTCTTTTTTTAATATTTTATCAATTCTCACGTTTTTAAAAAAAATTGTTCTTTTAATTTTGAATGTTTAAGTTTTTTATACTGTAATATTTTATGTGATATTTTTGCACATGTTTTTTATGTGATTTAAAACGTGAACATGTAAAAACTTATTGATAAGCATTTTACGACAAAAATAAACAGAAAAAGTACTGAAAAATTTAATTTATTAAATTTAGAAACCAGAAGTTGAGCGCTTTTTTTTTTTTTTTTTAATTAATAATGTTATAATTTTAATTACTAATGTTATAATTTACTCCCTCTGTACCGTAATACTTTTCCTGATTTGCATTCAACGTAAAGAATTATTAAAAAGAAATTATGTTACTAATTTTATATATATATATATATATATATATATATATATATATATATATATATATACATATATATATATATATATATATATATATATATATATATATATATATATATATATATATATATATATATATATATAAAATATAGATGTTTTTTTATAATACAATAAATATTTTTATGCCAATAATATAATTTACTACTGCACGCAATTTTTTTTAAAAATTAATTTTTTTAATGAAAAATTATTTCTAATAATTCTTTACGTTAAATGCAGATCGGAACAGTATCTTGGAACGGAGGGACTATTCATGACTGTCTTCTTAAACTGAACTGATAATTCTTAGAAGTGCGTAAGAGCAAATGATCTCCTACTTCCATTTTTAAATAAATTTAGCGTTGCGTAATTTATGGACGATCCCTAAAGAATTTGCTAAATAAAATTAAAAAAAAATCGATTTGTAGTTTAGTGCAAATTATCACGTGTGTTTGAGAAAAATGCACGTTTTTAGCCGTTTCTCTTTAAAGTTTTTAAAAGTTAAAAATACACCTTCAAATAGATGTCAAAAGTCTTGTCAAATTCCAACAGATTGAGCAAAAAGTTGTGTGCAAAATTGGAAAAATTATAAAAAGAAAATTTTTTGGTATTCAAAATTTTTCAAGTATTAGTATGCTGCCCGATTTATGATGGTTTTACTCTACATAATAGCGAATTTTGCTGTATTTTCAATACAATGTTCCGAAAATAATTGAGCAAAGTCCTAAAAACAATGCGCAATCCGGATTACTAATATTTAGTACGATGATAAAGCTGGTTATAAAGAAACTTTTTTTTTTAAAAAAAAAAACATGCAGCACTCAATTACAGTTAAATTTATAAAACGCTTTTTTCTTTAGTACATTTTTTTTTTTTTTTTTTTTTTTTTTTTTTTTAAGCTCTTCATTTCTTTAACAATATTCCTTCATTTCTTATGTAATATAAAAATCATTGATTTAAATTTTTATACCCCTTCACGTTCGGTATTTAAAGTATAAGCGTGTGTATACAAAGGGGATATCGTAATCACGTGTGATTTTAAAATATAACATCCAGTGGATCGTATTCATACCTATCCATAAAGTTAAATTGAGCGTTAAAAATACATTTCAATAAAAAAAATTTACTTTAATGTTTTGACTAGTTAAGCTTAACGAAAAGATATTTATCGCCGAGATATTACTATGAATTCAGAGAACTCATGAATGCATTACTAATAATTCATACATAGAGTTCATGAATACATTGCAGAGAAATGTCATTCACAAGTTACTGTTTTTAACAATTTTTTAGAGTATAAGAAAGGTAATTTCTAAACGTTCATTAAATTCCAAAAAAAATTATGCCTAATTTTAAAATTTATAGCTACCTCAAATTGTTAAGGTTTAAACTTTACATGATCATAATTATTTTTTCAAATAAACTTATTCATGAATTTAAATTTGGGGGCAATTAGAAAATGTTTTATAATCCCATTAGATACGATTATAATTTACTTACCTATTAATAACCCTTAGCGACAATAACCACCATACATATTCTAGCTTTTTACTTAAAGACATCCAATTTGTCGAAGGCCACTAACTAATAAGTTTTTTTCACATCTTATGCATTAGTTTTTGACATTAACTTTAATTCCTCCCGTAAAAATCCGATAGAAGAGAGATCATATGATTGGGGAGGTTAAATCATTCTATTCAATATTTGATCTTCTTTTAAAGCGAAAGATTTAAAACTTTGATACGTTGGTCCACGTTTACAGTCATTGATGGTCCATTTTTTATGTAGTTTTGCCCACTTTAGCATTTTCATTATTCTTATTATTTTTATCAAAGCATTTTAATAAAAATACTTTTATGTTTTTTAAACTATCTAAGAGTGCAAAAATAAACATAAAAAATAGTTAAATAAAAAATAGCATTTTTAAAAAAAGTTAATGTCATTTGAATAATTACAAACGGTAGTGTGTGTAACGAGCATAAAAAATAAAATTTTTATAGATTATGTATACTCTTACTGTTCTCCGTAGTTTATTAAAGATTTTTCCTAAGGCCTACTAAAATTAAAGAGATAACTTTTGAATGTTTTTAAAAGTCTTTATAAAGTTTATGAATATTTATTCATAAAATGTTTAATATAACTTCCAAACATGGTAAACTTTAATTATTTATATGTTTACACTTATGTCAAATAAGGATGATTTGCAAAAAATTGCAACGATTGGAACCTGGAAGCAAAATAATTCTTTAGCTTTTCGCCTGCCCCATACGTGAGAGAAAGAAGTTGATAAAATATTTTTTTTGCTATTCTCAACTAGAATTATATTCTATATACTAGACTTATATTCTTAACTATAATCTAGACTTATGTTCATCGATAAACTTTAAGTTTCATATTATGATATTTCAGTGTTCAAAAATTATGACCGAAGTTCCCCTCAAATTATAAAGTTTGTAACCCTCTCAAACTCCCCTCAGTTTAATTGTTACAAATTTTATAATTTTAGTAAACAATAATCTACAGAATATGTACTTATATCAAATAATTTTGGCAAACGATATTCTGCAGAATATCGTTATCAAAATTATTTGATATAAGTCTTATCACTAAACTATGTTTATATAGTCAGTTTATAGTGTATATTAAAGTGTAACTTTAATAAAAATAAATTAAAAATACAATTATTACGTACAAAAACAGCTGCTGAAATATATAATAAGGTATTATAAATTAATAATAGCTTTTTTTATCAAGAAAAAAAGATAAAATGATAAGTTAAAAATTAGTGAATAGTAATAAAAACGACTTTTTTAGTTATTATTTTAATGCACTTATTTAAAAAAAAAATACTTAAAATTGAAGTTCTTCCTCTATAAAAATCATTTAGACTATATCACTAAACAAAAAATCATTTGACTATATCACTAAACTAAAAATCATTTAGACTATATCACTAAACTAAAAAGAATTGAATTCTAATCACACTAAAAAATCTATAGTAGACAAAAATATGCTCGCAGAATGATATTTGGGGAAAACATAGATATTTATTGCAAACCTCTCTAACGTGAACTTGGAGATCTGAATATTTATAAGCTTTATATTCGCCAAATGAAACTCCTCATATTTAAAGTAAAGCGTGGCTTAACTCCAGTAGCTTTTATCTCCAGTAGCATTTCAAACTTACTGTATGAAGTTTCTCATAAATATTCTAACAATTTTTTTTTTGAGAAACAAGTTTTTACCAAATTCAATATTGTGGACCTTTTATTCGGAATTTTTTTTCATATTTTTAATAAAAATAAAGCTGTTATAAAATCCATTTTTATCGATACTTTTATTTTTTTAGTTTTTATATCTTGAATTATTCTATAAAAATAGTGTTTTGCTAAAATACTTGGCTAAAGTTTTGTGTATACTTCCTATTTTTTTTATTATTTATTACTTATTTTTAAACGTTTAAAAATCTATGAGCAGAGGCAATTCTAAAAATAAAATGAAGGGGAGGGGGGGGGGAGTAATGAATACTTAAAAAGTACCAACTGGCTCCTTAAAGGTCCTCAAAATACCCGACTAAATGTGTCAAATATCCAACTAGCCGACTATGTTCCTCATAAACTTACAATAAATTGAAACTTTCTTTTAGGGGAGGAGGGGTATACAACCCTTTCCCCACACATACACCCATAAAATCGCCTCTGACTATGAGTGTAACGGGGCTCGGTGACAAATATTTGTATTATTTTAATTGCTTTATTGTAGTTTCATATATTTAATATCGTCGCATATCTAACAAAAATTTTTATTGACATAAAAAACTGCATATTTTATAGTTTCAAGTGTTTATAAATTTTTCTTAGTTTAAAATCTAGCCTTTGATTTTAAACTAAGAAAAAAAGTTAAATAAAAAATATATATATATATATATATATATATATATATATATATATATATATATATATATATATATATATATATATATATATATATATATATATATATATGTGTGTGTGCAGTAATGTAAAATATAGATGCAGTGATAAATAAAAACGTTTAATTTTAATCATCCTTGAAAATATTAACATTAAAGTTGTGCATCACATCGGTTTAATCATTCGAGGGTTGAATAAGGTTATTGTTTTTTTTAAAACTGAAAATAATTTTTTTAATAATACAAAAACTCTCCCTAACTGCATAAGCTGCTTTACATTTTAAATTCTTATTGAGAAAATACATGTAAAAACGTTGAAACATAAATTAACTAATCATTATGTTAACTATATTTAAGTAAATGAGTTCAATTTTTTTTTTTTTTTTTTTTTTTTTTTTTTGTCATAAATAGATAAAGAACCTAAAATTCTATAAAAAACATTTCAAATTTGATATATTTAACTTATTTTGACTCTGAAATTATATTATTATATGAAATAAAGAAATAAATTGATTATATAGTTATTTATATATATAAAAAAATAACTTTATATAATTAATTTATTTTAGAAGAATAAAACTTATTATTTTACCTATCCAGGGGGGAAATATTTTTATAGAAATTGTTTAATGAATGTTTTTAGCTTAATATTTGCAAAACTTGTACTTGATATACCAAACATCCGAGCAAAAATTAAGCAAGCTAATAAAAAAATTACTGTTACATCTAGAAGTATTGCATTAGGATTTATTTTGCTTAGTTTTTGTTTAAGCCTATGTTTGAGCTGTGTATAGGTTAGCCTTAAATAAAGTCATATAAAAAACACCGTTCTTTTGTTTTAAAAATGCCATTTATGCGTGTGTCCCTTGTTGTACTTCAAATAAAATACGTTATAACGGTTTGTTCTTAAATAGTAAAAAAGTGAAGAAAATAATAATAAATTGTTTAATATAGCGTTTAATGTGCAGTGTTTGTTTTTTAAATATGAATGTTGGTTTAAGTTTGCACAACAACAAGAACAAGATATTTATTCTTCTTTTCAAACCATACAATATTATTATAATAATAATAAATATAATAATAATAACTTAAGAAAAAAAATAAATCATAATTCTATTGATTACAGTAAGTAAAAATAATTGGTTAATATATATATATATATATATATATATATATATATATATATATATATATATATATATATATATATATATATATATATATTAATTGATTAATTTGCAACGTTACCTAACATCGAATACAAACCAGCGGCAAAACGTATTTTTGTAAGACAAAAGCAAGAAATGAAATTGTTTACCAAAAATATTTCCCCTCTATTACTATATTGTACATTTATATTTTTTACAATACAATGTAAACTAAATATAATTTTCACATGACGTTCAAAAACTTGAATTATCACTATGTTGTTAAAAATAATTGACGTCTGTAATTGATTCAAATTTTTTAAACATAGAAATTTAAAAAATAATTTTCTTGGTTTGGAAATAGAAGCTCTGCCAAATTTTTTAAACTTATTATAATTAATATATAGATTGTAAATTTTTAGAGTAAGAAATTTTTTTTTTAAATGAAATAAGGTTTGTTAAATAATTAGTTTTATCAACTATGTTATTAAATTGCTTTTTGTTACGCAACTTCGTTCAACTAAAACCTCTTTTTTTATTAAACAAATATAACCTTTAAACCTTAATTTTTGTATATGTATAATTGTTATAAAGTTTATAAATAAAACGGTTTAGCTTGATACCTGACAACAAGCATAAAATAATCATGCTCACTAAGCTTCTATCTTTATAATAAATATTTTTATAATAATCTTTAGAGACAAAATAAATACTTTTGTCAGCTCAGCTTAAACATTCTGTTGCCACGGAGAAAAGTCGTATTATAAACTAATAAAGTTTAAATATTTTCGGTAAATATGTTTATCAACACTAAACTCCATTCAAAATGCAAATCCTAGTATTATTATCCTTGAGATGTTTAAATATCACGAAAATTCTCGTTTTAAATCTAATTCGTTTGTAAACATATAAAGTTGTAATACAAAAGTTTTCAATTTGCGGAAAACCTCCGGATATGCCAGGTCAAAGTATTTCAGAAGCAGCGTGGTTAGTTAAAAACCAAGTGTGTGCGTTTAAAGACGATTTAAAAGCAAATAGGGAAAATCATCCTTTTTACCATGTCAAAGCAGAAGATTGTCGGATATCTGAAGATTGGCGAGAAGTAAGTTTTATGAATCAAACTTTTCTATGGCATTTCAAATGATCTAAATGTTGGAAGATTTTTTAAAAACTACTAGCCAAAAAAAAAAATTTTTTATATTTAACTTCGTTAAAATTATATATTTTTTGAAATAACCAAAACAAACCTTTTTTGTTTACAAACGAAATTTTATTTCTTCAAAATTCAACAAAATATATTAGTATAATAAAAATAATAGAATATGTTGTTACATGTAATTCGCACATTGTTAAAAGTTCTGAAATATGAGATCATCTTGGTCGTATTTAGACTTTAAAAGAAATGGATAAATACTTGGAGACTTACGAAGAAGAGAATTGCTCGAATCAAGAAGAAGAAAGCCGCATTAAAATAATATCTCGCTTAAATAAAACGGAGAATATTTTTGATATAAATGAATCTTCGAATGACAGTATTTCACAGTATGACGAAGCAGAAAACTTATCGCCTGTGTATGATATTATTCACAGTAAGTCGACTACGCATACTTGTAAAAACAACTTGACAATGACAAACTATTTAAAATTACAACCACCATTTCCAGTAGCAACATCGTTGTTATCAGTGGTTAAAAAGCAAAACGATTCTTTATTTTATAACAATCTTTCGCCATTATACTCGCAAAGCACTTGTTGGTCACAAAAAAAAATTTCTCAAAGAGAAAATCAATTTTTAAACTTAGATTCTGATGAACTTGAATTGAACATGAACTGCTACCATGAACAAAATGTTGAAGAAAACGAATTAAAAAATAAGCATGGTAACCATGCTGAATTGAACTTGAACTGTTACCATAAACAAAATGTTAAAGAAAACGAATTAAAAAATAACCATGGTAACCATGCTAGTTTACCATCTTTCTTTTCGCCTTCACTTTCGTTGGAGGAAAAACGCAACCACAACCTTATGGATATATCAAAAAGACGAATACACAGTTGTAACTACAATGGATGTAATAAAGTTTATACAAAATCTTCTCATTTAAAAGCACATGTACGGACTCACACAGGCGAAAAACCATATAAATGCTCTTGGGAAAGCTGCACTTGGAAGTTTTCACGATCAGATGAACTAACCAGACATTATAGAAAACATACTGGAGCGCGTCCATTTAAATGTCATAGTTGCGACAGGGCATTTAGTCGTTCCGATCATTTGGCTTTGCACATGAAAAGACACTAAAACAATTTAACAGCTTGCAGTAGTTATAATCGGCCTAAATTTTTCAGCGCCAAATTAAAATGTTCGTAGGTTATGCAAATCATTTAAGTGGTGAGACAAAGTTTAAGAAAGTTATAAAAAAGAAAGTTTGAACTCTTTTTAATATTCTACTTCATTAAACATGCTATAGATAGAAACGAAAACAATTTTATATACTACATATATATATATATATATATATATATATATATATATATATATATATATATATATATATATATATATATATATATATATATATATATGTATATATATATATATATATATATATATATATATATTATATATATATATATATATATATATATATATATATATGTGCGTGTTTGTAATAAAGTATCATTTAAATGAAAACTTGTTTTATTTACTTTTTTTATGGTGTTTATTGTTATACCAGCTGTGAAATTCATTTAAACTTAAGATTGTAAAAAAAGAAGTACATCATACTATAATATTACTGAAATATATATACACATTGTATATATATATATATATATATATATATATATATATATATATATATATATATATATATATATATATATATATTGTTTCAGACAACTTCTTACATAATATTTAATAGTATTGGTGTTCCCCTTTTTTTAATATAACACAAAAAAACATTATTTGTTGTTCTAAAGAAGATATAAATATATTTTGGCTCAAACCTGTCGCATTTTACTATAGTTCTTGATCTTTTATCCGACTTGTGTCCTACTTATCGAATATATATATATATATATATATATATATATATATATATATATATATATATATATATATATATATATATATATATACATATATATATATATATATATATATATATATATATATATATATATATATATATATATATATATATATATATATATATATATCAGTGACGGATCCAGGGTAGGGGGATAGGGGGTATGCATCCCCCTACCAGAATCTGAATATTCTCAAATATCTTAGAAATTGAAGACCTCTTTTTTAGGAGAAGTAATGGTAGCTCTCTTTTCATCATGTACTAAATGAGCAACACCTGTTATTTTGAAGAAAATGTAGAATATGTTTTTTTGCTCAAACCTGTCGCATAATACTTTAGTTCTTGGATTTTTTTTTCTCTCAGAAAATAGTTATATTTTTGAGAGAAAAAAAGTTCCAACAACTATAGTTCTCGTACTCCAAGAACTATAGTTTTTGACTCTAAGAACTATAGTTCTTGGACTCTAAGGTCTATAGTTCTTGGACCCTAAGAATTATAGTTCTTGGACTTATTTCTCTTAGAAGTGATGTTGAATTTGAATTACGATTTACAAAATTAATTGGGTGAGCAGCGTATTTCTGATGCTGATAAGGCTATTAATGCTTGGTTTTGTGCGCGCTTTTCTCATATAATATTTGCGTAGTTTAAATATCAAAGGATAAATGAATAAACGAGTTGTGTTAATTTTTGTTTATTTAACAAAATGTCTAGTTTTATATATAATTTCAATATCCTTAACAACTTTCATAGATATGTTATCAAATTGATGTTTTCAATATAGGTTTTTGTGTTCAAGAATTTCAAGAAGTTTTACAACTTTTTTCTTTTTTAGTATTTATTATCAATATAAAAGGACAGACATTGTTTTGGCAAGCCTTTTTTCCATATAAAAAAGACCTCTTTTCCATATAAGGCAGCCCTTTTTTTCCGGAGATTGGGTAAAAATGTATCTTTTTTTTTTTTAAACCAATATGAGATTTTTCACTAATTCTTCTTTTAGATTTGTATCATCAGCAAAATATATTGGTTATGTTAGAATTTTTTTTAAGATCATTTTTTGCTTATTAAAAATATTATGGGACTAATTATGGGTCTTTGTGGGGCACTACATGTTACATTCATTAATAACTGCAATAAAGAGTCTTTAATTTTAACAAACTGCTTATGATTATTAGAGCAGTTTTTACGTCTAATGTCGTAACATTCCAACTTTTAAACAGAATATATTGATTGTCAGTATCAAAAGCTTTAGACAAATCGATGAACTCTCCTAGCGTAAAATGAGAATCTTTAAAGGGTTCATGCTGCGTGTTGATTGAAGTATGGCGCGTTCATGCTGCGTGTTGATTGGAGTATGGCGCGTTCAACAAAATATTTGCAGAGTCTATTACATATATATATTTTCTAATATTTCAGAGGAAACTAGAAAAGCTGAAATAGGACAATAATTTGTAATGTTAGTATGATCACGTGATTTAAAAAAACGAGTGATTTTTGCTACTTTTCAAAAATATATCAAGGATCCCTGAGCAATATATGCATTAGAAATTTTAAAGAGGATATTTTCAAATCAACTAAGGAGCGTCAAACTTAAATTTAATAAGAAATTTTTGTAACATAACGACAAAAAAGTCTCATAGAAAAAACTATTGAAAATAAATCTGATAACATTTGCTATAAAATATCGGCTGGGTCTATGTCATGTGATGATTTTGTTCGCAACTTTGTAAGCTATTTTTTTATATAAAGTAAATTGACATCAACGCATTTTTGCAATCCTGATTAAGAAATAGGCTATCCCAGAAATAAACAAATTTTTATATTTAAAAAAAGTAACACTTTAACTATATTTAAAAATGTATTTAAAAAACTTATCTTCACATAAATGAACAATAAACTTTATATTGTTGTAGAGATATGTTTACACAATAAATTTAATACTTTGTAAATTAACAAAAATTGAATAAAACTTAAAAAAAAATTTCACACAAAACGTTATCTAGTTTCAAAAACATGTTTCGATAAGTTTTACATAGTAACTAACTTTTTTGCATGAAAAGCCTAAACATCTGTATTAGAATTGTCTGAATCCTGTATTATACTTGAAGAGATAGTAACTAGGTTTTGAGTGGTTTGGGCTAGAATCTGGATGTTGTTTTGTATGTTAAACATATCAGCAATATGTTCGCTATAATGTTTACCGACTATTAAGTTATTCTGATCAAAAGACGCGTCCCAAATCATTATGCCTCCAAATCGCGGTTCTTCTTTATATTTCTACATATTAAATATTTATATAAAAACCATTGTAGTTATAAAATTATATAAAAATAAATTATATGAAGGTAAATAACTTACGCTATATATAATTGCAAGTTCCTGCGGAGTTCTGTAATGTTGAGGGTTTCCGGAAGCTTTAACATTTGCTGGTATTCCAATATAAACTTTAGGTCCTTTGTTATCCCTAGAATAGTTGAGCCATTTTACCATATGATCATCAAATACAACTGTATTACCTGTGTTGCACCAATTGTTATAAAATTGCACATAAATTTCATCAATAAAATTCGGTACGTCTCCAAGTAAATGTTCAGCAGATGGGCCTAGTAAACTAAAATGTAACTTTGCTTAATGGTTTTTAAACAATTACCTGCGTTTGAACAATTGAATATTACGTATTGATACCAAAAAATAGTTATACTCTAAAAACAGTTTAATCAATTGAAACAAACTTTTAATAAAAATCTTACTAGTCAGGATAGGGACACTGGGGAGCAGCACTAATAAAAACTGGTTGTGATCCAGTTTTCTCTAATCTTCTAATTTCTTGAACAAACAATGAGTAGTACTTATAGTCACCACTTTCAATATCAAGATCTATACCATTCAATACAGCACTAAATGTTATATGAAAAAATTAAATCAAGAAGAAATCAAATTTTTAATTGCTAAAGACTTTAATAAAATATATTTAATAAAAAACTATTAAATATAATTACTGTTTAGCAAGTAATAAAGCTACATTGAATGTAAAAAAATTGATTTTACTTTTTTCTACAATCCTAGAAAAGGTTTATATCATAGTATTCCTCTGACATTATAAAAGATAATTAGTTGTTAGTTTTCTAAAAGTGTTTTTAGAAAAAAACCTGTCGTGGAAATCTGGTGTTCCCATTTTATATTTAACGTAACCATTTCATAATATTGCATCTTTAAAAATTAAACTTTTCCTTCATTCATTATTTTATTTCTTTCTTTAATATCTGATGAAAAAGTACAACTTATAGTAAAATAATAAAATCTCTGCAATAAGCAAATAAAAATAAGCAAACCAAAATGTTTATTGTCTCTACTAAGTTAAAGATTTATATGTTAATAAACTTTAAAAAGGTTTTAGTAGTCATGTTAAAAAAAAAGTATGGAAATCTTACATATACACTGTATGGAAATCTTACATATACACTGTACTTTTCAATTAATTAACTTTGTTCCATATACATTAAAGCGAAACTATAACCAAATCCAATATCGTGGGTTTGATGAGGAAAAACCTTATAACATATTACTAAAATGAAAACTGTTATATACATACCGTTCTATACTACGATTTTAAAAAAATGTAAAAACTAATGTAAATAATGTAAAGATGTTTACATTATATAACTTTTTTATTATTTTCGAACATGAATTAGATAATTAAATTAAAGGTTAAAAAACCTTTGTTCAACTATTTAAATTTAAAAAATGATGAAATTCGCTTTCCAAAGCTTGTAATACAGGTTTTTACAAACCGAAAGTTGCAATGCTGAAAACTTTTATTATAACACACTTTTTTTTTTTTTTTTAAATGTTATTTAAGTGCCTCAAGAAGTCCTAACGGTCTTGTTACAGAGCCACCCCTATTTGTACAGCTCAACGTATAACTGTTATATATATATTATAATGTATACTGAAATACTGTAATGAGTGCTTTAATATAAAAAAAATAAAATAGAGGATTTTTCAAATATACCTTCCAAACGGTCTTAATAATGGTAACTCCGAACCTTCAAGAAACAAATGGTAAACTCTATATGCAAAAAGCTGTGCCTCAGCTTTATTTTTGAATCCGACATTTCCGACTGCTCCTCCTAGCGATATTAAAACGTTTTTGCCTCGCTTTTGGCATTCTTTTACTCCACTCTCAATTGTTTTGCATCGAAATAAAGTCTTGTAATCAGAGCTTAAAGGCGTTTCACAATGGAAAGCAAAATTCATACCAGGCATTTTATCTAAATAGTTAAATAGTATTTTTTTTTATTACAGTTTTTTAACTACTCCTATTTATTACATTTGTATTTTTTTAAATATGTATTAGATAATTTAAAGTTAAAAAACCTTTGTTCCTTTCATCAAAAAATGTATTGACAAAAGACAATATGATTGTATCATAATTGTAAGAGCAAAATTCCGAAAGATCTTTTTCCCAAAATTCTTTTGACTTCAATTCGTTATAAACTGCATTTTGTCCCCAATATGTTACAATCTTGTGACTTTTTTTATTTTCTAAATTCAATTTATACTATATGTAATACAGATTTAAAATAAAAAAGTTAATTACGTCACGCAATTAAAATCATATCTCCCAATGATTCTAAATATTTAATACATCTATGACAAAAATAAATTTTAGTTGAATATATAACCACAGATATAAAATATGTTTCATATCTGTGATTATATATACAGCTAAAATTTTGCATCTGAATAGAAAAAAAAAATACGTATTTGAAAATATGAAATTGGACTGGATTTTTTGAAATTTGAAAAAATCTGTCCTTTTTAATTTATAACGAGCACCATAAAATATTTTTTATAACAATGCATAGCACAAAAAACAGCAATGCAAAATGAAATTTTGCGTGGGAATCTTAAAGCCAGTCTGTGATAAAATAACAATGTTAAAGTATATTATTTTATGATAATAAAATATTATAAGTAATTATTTTAAAAAGTATTCATGCTAAAAATTTAAAAAAACCTAAATTTGAGAATACCCTAAAAAGTTGTGCCATTCGCAATCACAATAGCTGGCATATAAATTTTTTTTAAAAGTTTTAATTTAATTACTAATATTAGATTTTTTGTCTAAATTTAAACTAAAAACTTTATTTCAAGATTTCAACTTAAATCTTTTTTGGTGTTCTATTGTTAAAATGTTGGTTAAAATCTAAAACCCTATGGGTAAAAAACTTTTTTAAAATTATATATATGATTATATTCATAATTTTAAAATAAAATTCAAACTTACCTTGATGGCTGTTTTTCAGACATATTAAAAGTATATATGCATAACAAACTAAAAACATTTTTTTTACTGGAACAATGTTTAGACTTTCAACTACTGTATTTGTTTTATAAGAGTATTAACATACGCAGCGGTTTTTCCTACCAGTTTGCAACTGTAAAGATTCTCTTTCTAAGTTTATATGGCAACAGTTCTTTGAATTAGTTTGCAAGTGCAAAGGTTTTTTTAGTTGTTTGGTAAATGAACGGTTCATCAAATGAAAATATTTTTAACCCTTAACTTTGCTTTTTATAAGAAAAGACTTGTGTAATCTTGTTACTTTTCTATTTATTTCTGATAATTTTGTATTACAATATATTACTTTTAAGATGACTCGTTTTTTATTGCATATCTATAAATACCTTTTTATAATCAGAAATACGTTACCGAATCATTTGTGTGATACCGAATCTTTGTACCAAATATTTTTGTAAGAACAAAGATCACACTCCCATTATCTTAATATTACTCATTTTTAATCTTATTATAAGTTCTTTATCATTCGCGAGAGAAAGAAAAATAGGATAAATAAATTATCTAATATATATATATATATATATATATATATATATATATATATATATATATATATATATACAGAGAGAGAGAGAAATTTTATCATATTGTTAAGTTTTTAGACTTAACAATATGATAAAATATACCCTAATAAATTTATAAAAATAAACCCCATTTAAATTCTATAAACAATGGCATTTGGTTAACTAGCTGCTATTGACCACATAACCTTTCAATTGCATTTTCAAAACTTACAACTTTATCAAATATAGATTGAAACATGTTGAAAATAAAATGCTGTAAAATTTAGGTGTTTAAAAGTCTCATTAAATATAATATTACTTGCCATGAAATAAGATTTGGACTTTTTAAAATGTCAAATTTAACTTTTTTATTATTACTTTTGCAACTTTTAAATTTATTACAACAAGGGGTAGGTAACTTTGTTATCAACAAAATCAAATTTTTTCTTTTCTAGCGAATTAAATTGTGAATTACAACTGGAAATCCTGGCTATAATAATAAATCATGGCGAATCGATCTCTTTTCAATACTAAAACTCCTATTATAACATCATGACATCACTAATGTTTTTAATTGTATTATATCTATGCATAAAAACCGCTATAAAAAAATAACTTTTTATTTGACATTTTATTTTCGTTTTAAAATAAAAAATTTTTCTGAAAAATTTTACTTTAATTAACCTTAAAGATTGAATAAAAAATGTTTAAAATACAATTAAAAAAAAAAATAGCATAAAAATTCAAAAACCAAAAGGTTTAGATAGCTATTCTCAAAAAAAAAGGTTTTGATAACTATGATTTGGTAAGATGTGGTATGATGTGGTATAAAATTCAAGTTGAAGAGTTGAAATAGTTAAAAAGTTTGATAGTTATTAGAAACATAAATTTAAACAAGATAAATAAAATTTCAACAAAAAATGTTGTAGATTTTTTTTAAGTAAAAGCGTTACAGTCATATTAGAAACAATTTGGAAAAATATTAATTTCTATCCTCATGAACTGTATAAATTTCCCTAAATTTCCTGGTAGCAGCATCTGTTTATTTACTCCACCTTTTTAACGGCTCCTTTAATGAGACAACTTTTACGTTTACGTCAAACTATTATCATAGTTCTAAGAGAGCGATTTCGATAGAATAGAAGTGAGGTCATTTAAGAAAATAGAGCTATTTGTTTTATAGAAGATTGCCCATAAATTACGAAACACTAAACTTTTTAAAAAGTAGAAGTAGGAGATTTGCTCTTTTACGCAGGGACTTTCATTGAACATAAAGGCTAATTTAATTTTTGGTTCATTTAAAGGATCTGCGAGGAAAACTTGTGATCTTTTTTTTGTTTGTTAAATAACTAAATTTAGCATTGCGTAACTTCTAAAATTACGTAATCTCTAAAAAAAGTTATGTAAGAAAGTATGTTTATATAAGAAATATATGAAATCTTTCAGATTATCTCAAGAATTTTAATTAGATTATCTCAAGAATTTTATCTCAGGAATTACACGAAAAAAAAAATTTTAGTTTAAAGTATTATCAAAAATTATAAATGTGGGTAAATAATATAAAAATGGTTCTAATATTTGATATGTTTTGATTCAATAAACAATGTTTTCTTTGGATTTTTTTTAAATAGTAATTTATTAATTTAGATGTTGAAAAAGTAAATAGTAAAAAAGTGAATAAAAAAGTAAAAACACTTCCATTTTTTTTTTTTTTTTTTTTTTTTACATAAACGAGTGTAATTTAGACACCAGATTTTAAACTGTAAAGCATTGTAGATATGAGTTTTGCTCATCGTATTAATATTTAAATTATAAACTTTTTATAAACCCCAAAATTTAGCCATAAATTCAAGTTTTTGAATCTTATTTGTCGTATGTTAAACATTGTGCTTTCTGCAAGGAAATCAGTAAATTGGTAAAGCAGGATTTAAACTTTATTATTCTTAACCTTTAATAAGTTTCCAGATATACGACTAGTTAGAAATGTAATATGCAACTTAAAGTTTGCTTAAAATGTATTTTTCCATAATTCAAAATCTTCGTTGAGCGATAAAATCATTCATACTAAAATCTTTGTTTATAAAGCCATGTTCAAGCAAGAAGTTTTTAAAAACAATTTTTTAAATCGTGTTGTCTTCTGCTAGAAATACAAGGACTGGTCAGCAAGGGATTGGGGAGACGGAATGTTCAGAGACAAGTTAATTACTAAACAACTAGGTTGTCGTTCTACAAACGTTATTAAACGTTATTAAAAAGCCCAATATTTGCTTTATTTCGTAAAATATTGCCCTAAAATGTTGGTTTGTGGTGCAATTACAGCCAATTGATGTAGTTTTGATTACCTTGAAAATACTTTAGAAAAAGCTTAAAAGATTCATAGACATCACAAATGCTCATAAATTTCAAGATGTTTGAGTCTTTTTAACAGTATCAAGCTTTTAAGCAGTTGGTCGCATAAGAATGAGGTTATTGGTTATTCACCCAACCTCAATTCTATTGATAAAAGATAGATGTAATAGTAAGCTACAAATTTATTAATTACTCTATATGCCATCAAACTTATTAAGGGCTAGAGAGTCTAAAAACAAATATTTATTTTTAAGAAGTATATATGTATTTTTAGACCGCCTTTATTTTAAGAAATATGTATTTTTAGACGACGGTCTAAAAATACATATTTCTTAAAAATAAATCTTTTCAGAAAATTGGTAGTTTTGAAAGTTACTTTCAAAACTACCAATTTTCTGAAAAGATTTATTTTTGACTTTCGGTCAGTTCGGTCAAAGTATTTCGAAAGTTCGGTCAAAGTAGATGTTTTCATTTTAAACAAAATATTGAGTACTAGTTTTTATATTTCATTTTTTTATTTTTACAATATCAATTATCAATATAATTATCTGTATGTTTCAGGAAAAAAAATTGAACATTTTTTAATTATGCGTGATAAATAAATGTTTAAAGCTTAAGTGACCGAACTTAGGCAATTTTATGGTATATTGTAAAAAAATACTACGATTTTATTTTTATAGCAGTAAATAGAAACATAAATAGAACAAGTTATTTAGAAATATAGCATAACGAGGGGCAAAATGAGACACTTAAGCACTAATTTATCTAATACGGCCCGTCTAACAACTTTTGAAAAAATAGCTTGATATTTTTCAATTCTTCTACCATCCTACTTGAAGCTTACTAAATATGAGTTGCAAAACTGCAGTGGTTTGGTCACCAGAGATCATTTATTGACAGCACCTATCCTGTCTCATTTTGCCCCGCATAACGTGGCAAAATAAGACAGATTTTTTTTTTAGTAATTTGAATAAATAAAGTTAAACAAAACAGATCTTTAATAGGATTAGCAAGAAATACATTTTATAATATATTACAGCTATAATCAAACTGTCACTAATCACATAAATCACGTATTGCGTGACCAGTATTTTAAAACGAAAAACAGTCCGGATGAGCCCAGGTTCTGCATTTTCTATATATTCTATATCTTCTTCTATATATACACACACATATATATATATATATATATATATATATATATATATATATATATATATATATATATATATATATATATATATATATATATATATATATATATATATATATGTATATATATATATATATATATATATATATATATATATATGTATATATATATATTTATACCCTTTTACAAGAACTAATAAAACCATACATGCATATATTGAACTTATGTATTTAAAACACACATAACGTTCATTGTATTTTACTTATAGTTTATTGCAATAACCTATATACTATAATATACTCACTATATATTTTATATACTACTTACTTTATTACATTACAATTACATATACAATACAATAAAATTATAAAATACAAACATAGTAAATGTAAACATCAGGCAATTATTTGCTTCAATTTGATTAAATATTTATTATATTTAAATGTAAGTTAACAAAATATAAAACATAATTCTATATTGGATAACAACTAAACATTTTAATTAACAAAATAAAAAGTAAGTAAATACAATATAATAAATTTAAATCTAAAGCATGTAAATATTAACATTTGCTATGTTTGTTGTTTTAATGTAAAAAATTAAACAAACATATTATTAGATATCGGCAAAACAAATACAAACAGAATGTCTCGTTTTGCCCCGCATCATATTGGCATCGAATTGCCTAATTTCCAGACTATTTTATTGAAAAAATAAAATATCAAAGAATGGAAATGATAGAAAAAGGCCTAAAGATTCTAATAAAAAAAACTTTAAATATAAAAAGCTTTTCCACTCAGTGAGATCAAAAAAGGCTAGGAAAAAATATAATAACAACACTTAAAAATTCGTAATTTTCGCGAGGCCGAGGGATGAAATGATTCCCCTTCTACTCAACTTTTTTTTTCAAAGTGACTTATTATATTTTTCTTGACACAAAATAGTTTTGAACACAACTGCACTTTTAGAAATCATGGAAATAATAATTTGTAGGCCTGGCATCATGATAAACGCGAACTGTCTCATATTGCCTCGCTGTCTCATTTTGCCCCGCATTACCCTACTTACAAGGATCTTAGCAGCCATTTTTATTTCTCTTAACAAGTTATCAAGTTTAATTAAATTATCAAACAAAACCAACTACCGAACCACCGGTAACCATCTGTAACTGTAATAAGTCTTAAACATTTGTTAATGACTATATATTCAGTTCTAAATTTTAGGTCAAAACTTAGGA